AAAATAGTTAAGGCATTTAGAGGCCATCAATATTCTCCCTATAGCAAAGTCTTGCTTCGGGCAGAATGGACCATGTCCAAGTGCAAATTCCCTATGATAAGTGTTATCACCTTGTATGCCTAAAATGTACCAATAAATGTTGTGCTATTTAAAAAATAAAGTCTTGCTTTGCTGGTCCCCATGAGTGGTTCTCTGTGAGGCCGGCTTGCTGGAAATGCAGGTAAGAGGTTGCCTTACCTGAGCTGTAATCCTGCACTGTGAAGATGCAGAAGCAGAAGTGACACGTGCATGGCTTCAAGCTTGCATGGTAGCCCTGTCGGGGCAGCCTGGGCAGACTCCAGGGACCACAGGGATGGTGCAGTGTGGCACTGCCTTAGGCTACTTTAGCTTGCAGCGTAGGAGAAAGTTTGGGAAATATGACTCTTGTGTGTTGACTGGGTGCCAAATAGACTCTACAAAGCATGTCAAATAGCCAAACTATTCTGAGTCCTCCCTTGCTCCCACTGTGGCACATGAGTGGTGGAGTAAAGAGCTCATTCCAGCCCACTTGCGCATCCGTGAGATATAATGGGAGCCACTGCACCAAAGCTCCAGGGGATTTTTTTTTGTCCTACTGGGTTGTGAACCTAGGGCCTCTTGCATGCAAAGCAAGTGCTTTATCATTGAGCTACGTCCCAAGTGCTTTCTAATTTTTGTTTTGAAAGAGTCTCCATAAGTTGCTCAGGGAAGCTTTGAACTGGTGATCCTTCTGCCTCAGTCTCCCAAACTGCTGGGATTAGTTATGTGCCACCACACGTGGCTTGATTTTGTAAATTTTTTAACGAGAGCATCATTCTCAGCTTGGATAAATCCCTTCTGACAAAGGTCTTCCGCTTGTAAAGCAGAGGATCCCAGTGATAGTTGGAACTGGGGTGACTTGGCCTTTTGAAGCCCTCATGGGAAACACTCTGGAACGTGCATCTGACTTCAGCACAGCCTGGGCAGAAAGTGCAGAACCAGGTAGCAAAGAGCACAGCTGAGCTGGAAAGAACTGCAGGACTCCCGGGCAGAGTCTGGCTTGAGGATGCTCAACTGAGATGGGTGGGCTCTGCTTGCTGATCATTCTGAGTCTACTCATGCAGCTCCATGCCCCAGAAACCCTGTATTTCCCAAGAAGCCTGGGGATCTGGATGCTTCTCTGATGGTCACAGTGCAAACCTGAGGACCTCCTAACCTCTGGCTGCCTTTTTTTTTTTCTTGTCTAAAATGTCAAGGAAGGAAGTTGTGAGAACAAAATTCATTATTTTATCATTATTCATGGGAATTTAGAAATTAAACTCTGGATGTTTTTCATACCACATTCTTTTAGATTGAGGTCTTTGGAATTTTGGAATTTTTTGGAGGCTTTCTAGATTTCAGTGGGAGTATTCTGTAACTAGGCTAGAGTTTATGTTGTTATTGAAATTTAAGGCTTTAAAATATGTCTTTAATTTATGTGAGGAGCCAAATTCTAATCTTAACTTTTAAAAAATCTTTTCTTCTGAAAGCACTCTTACCTTTTCATATGCTATTTAGGACAAAAACAAACCCTACCCTTAAGTCCATAGTTTTAAATAATAACAATAATAATAAATGGAGTCTGGAAGCCTGCAAGTTTTGTCATCTCTCCTTATGCCAAAGTTCCCAATCCTACCATGTAGCCTGTATACAAACACAGAACCTAGGAGTTTAGGATCAGCAGATGATTCCACACATCCCTTGGGTTGTGGACAAAACCACAGGAAAACAGTTGAATTGCATTCAAGGTCTGCAATATTGTTGCTGCTAAGCTGAAACTGTAGTGTAATTTAGAAGATTTGGCTTTCTTGCTTGAACTCAAGTGTGACGACAACATCTCCATGCTTGTTTCTAAGCCATTTGTTTGCCTGATATTTTTCCTCATCAGAGCAACATGACAAATGCAGACAAGCTCGACAGATATCATAAATGATTTTTTTATATTTTACTCTTTTATTATTACTATCTTTTGAGATGGGAGTCTCATTGTGCTGCTCATATTGGCCTTCAACACCTATGCTTAACAAATTTTCCTGCTGAGTAGCTGACTACAAGTGGATGCCAGTGTGCCGGGCTTACTTTTCATGTTAGATTCTGAGTTCCAGCCATTAGTGGGGGGTAAAGTGAGGAAAGCCATACAGGTGGTGTGCTAACTATAGGAAAGTAGTAGACTCGGACCTCATGCTAATTTGCATTCCTCTACTTACTGAAACCACAGCAGCCCTTCTGGCCCTGCTCCATTCTCCCTCTAGGGCAGTTGTGGTGAACCTATGGCACACATGCTGAGACTGTTATCACTGAAAGCTCTAGAAGTTTCACCATCACTGATCTGAGGCTTTCTGTGTATTTTATGTAACTGCTGTTTGTTTTCTTGGTCCCCCTGCTGTAATATTCACACTCCTTGAGAGTCAGGCCCAGTCTCAGGGACCAAGTGAGGACCCTACAACAAAAGGTTGCAGATCCAGGACCAGTCTGGGCTCTGTACCTCAGAGGCTATGTGTTTGCTGGCTCTTTCCTTGGCAAATGAGATTTATTTCACCTGGAAGTTCATGGAACAGAAATGATGCAAAGGTTTGCTGAACCCTGAATTTGGGTGACTCAGGGGATTTTGCTCAAGGTCCCTCAGGGTCCTGTGAAATGAGGAACTGGGGTCCTGCAGCCCCTTGCAATCCTGGCTTCCTGTCGGCAGATACTGCTCAAACCTGGAAGGGCATCTCTTGGGACAAGTGAGCTCCTGAGTTCTGAGGAAATAAGTGACATTCTGAGTTAATGGCGAATGGAAGACTTTAAATTCTATGAGAGATTGGTATTTACATGCTTAGACACATTCGAGGTGGGGAATTAAGCTAATGTCTCAATGGGATAAAGCCCAGCCCGGCCTCACTTTCTTCCCCCAGGCCTCAATGGATGCTTGGGTAACGCTCAGTTCAATGGTAACAAGCCTGAGCCACTCACTATAGGGAGGAAAATCTCCACACTTAACCTTGTATTTCAGCAGCACAAATGTACAGACACTTTGGTTCTGGACCAGCTTTCCAGGAATATCTGTAGAGTGGATATCGTGGGAGAACTGAGGAGTCTCCCACAGGAAAGACAGACCACCTTTGTCAGTGTAATAGAGACTGGAGAGGTGGTATAGGTCAGTCTGTTGGCAGCACTGTGTAACATCCACCCAGCCCCTTCCCTCACCCATGTTTAAGATTCAGGGTCCGAGGGCACCAATGAACACACTGGCTTGTGCTATGTGCTGTGATTGCTGACCTAGGAGCTCTGCATTGTCCCCACATCATGAGTCTGGGATGGAGACTTGTTAGCTTTCAAGTTGGGCACAGTCCAAGCCTCTCCGTTCTTACATCCATTCCTCCTCTGGCAAAAACCACATTGAAGCCAAGTGCTGGAAGCAGTGTGGTAGGTGTAATAGTGCTAGCCCATGTCACTAGAAATCTCTGGAACCTGTGTATGTGTCAGGTGGTGTGACTCAGAATTCAGGTTGCTAATTAGCTGATCTTAAAACCTGGGAACCTTCTGGTTTAGCAGGCAGTAAGACAGCTGTTTGCTCCTTTGAATGCTGCTGCCTTTAGGGCAGAGTTTGGCACGTTTTAAAATTCTTAACCTTGGACCTTGTGCTTTTCTATTTCGTCTTTCAATTTTGTTTGTAGTAAGTGTAAGTTCTTGTGTACTGCCTCTAAAGAGAAAGTAGGGAGAGCATCCTGGGCTGTCCCTGTGGCCAACGTAATCAGTGTTTCAAGGTGGGCAAGGCAGTAGAGAGGGGACTGAGTGACGGGCTGTGAGAAGGGTTCACCCCACTGTTGGTGGGGCTGGAGGAAGAACAGGAGATCTGGCTGGTTTTAGCTTGTTGAGAACTGTCTGGGGCTTCTGCTCTACAGAATTGAAAGATAATGATTTTTTTTTTTTGTATCACATTTGAGGGACTTACTGTGGCAAATAGAAAATAATAGATAGGACATACAGATAGCTTTTCAATTTACATTTCTTTCTGGTGGCATTCTGCAAGCGTGTGTGAGAGGCAGGATTTCTTGTGCATTTATTGTTGTCATGAAATTCCCTTAGTAGTCCCCAAGCTCCTGTCCATACAGAAGTATAAAAGAGTCCAGGAAGAGCCCTCTGTGCTGGGGGAGGGGCCCAACACAACATTCAGTAAAGGTGTCTGCACGTGCCCTTGTGTGGTGGGTATGGTGGGGTATGTGTGATACTTGCTGGAATTTGCTGGTTATGAATTTACCAAACGGGAAGAAGAAATTAGGTTGGAGAATCAAAGACTAATAAAGGTTTGTTTTCTTTTGTATTTAGAAAGGAAAGGTCTGCATGGCCAAGTGGCACAGCCCAGAAGACAGAGTAAGGACTGTCCCTGGCCGTCACCCTGGTCACCTGGTCTATCTCACAAGATGACTGTATATTGCCTCCTTCTAGCACACCTGTCCCAAGATAGCTGAGCTCCTCACAGGAGTGCAGGTGCAGCAGAGCACACTCAAATGCAAGCACATTCCAATGTGTACACACAAACACATTCACTGGCACACTCTCATGTACATACACATGTGCATACTCCTCCTTGTAAATCTACTCATGCTCACACCCCCACATCCATGCATAAACATGTGCACACACATACAGTGCATGTGGTGCTCCCAAGTGTGTACACATTCACACACACACACACACGTGTGCATCATGTGCCCGTGTGTGCATGAACTCACACAACCACAGATGCACACATGCACACACAGGCTCTCAGCTTGGAGCGACTGTGATGTTGTCCACCTGCACATGAGGTACACACACGCATACGCACACAGGAGTATCTCTCAGTGGAGGGATGGGTGGTAAGGCAGAGGCTCACAGTACCTGTCAACAGTAAGGAAGAACAGAGGAATGAGGAGGTTATCCTTGGACTGTTATTATAACAACATAGAAAATCCAAAGGTTCTTGTTATATTAGAAAAATATTACACTTCATAAAATCCATGTTTATTCAAAAAATCTATTCCGAAAGTCTGGAAAGCATAATAAATATCTGTACAGTGGCCGCCCGTCTCAAACATGAAATACAAAGCACAAACATGAAAATGGTCTGTAAACACAACTGCTGAGCTTGTAAACAAAGTGCCAAGTCAGAGGAGCGGGACAGAGCAGTGCGTGGGGCAGGGCGACCAGGAAGTGCGTGGAGTCCCCTCCTGAGCTTTGAAGCCACCCTGGGTCGCACCTTCCACCTCTCCCTACCACTCAGGGACTTGTAGTGTCCTCTCCCAGGCTAGAAGTTTTACAACTCTTGAAAAAGCGAGGGGCAACCGAACATGTCAGAGACGGAAGCCTGAAACAAATTTTATCCTGTGCTTGAGAGAATTGGTAAAGCGTAAGGTAAAAATCCCATGTGCATTTCCAGGAATAACACTATTTGCCACACAATACTGTATAACATTAAGTACTACTGTTACTCACTGAACAATATTCCAAACATCAGCACACACAGGGCTAGACAAAAACCTTGCACAAATCTGACCTTAGGATCAAGGTGAAATCCTTGTGTCTTGCCCACATTTGAGTTTGGGGTTGGAATCTGGCGAAGCTCTCCCTCCAATGGGGCCAACTGGGTGCTCCTCCTGCACTGGGGTTTGCTAGGCAGGATGGCCCTAGAAGGGGGCCAGAAAGGGCCACTCAGCCTTGGGTTAGGAAGCCTGGTGCAAACTAGGTTTTCTCATGAGAAACTCTCTGGTTTTATGATTCCAAGGGGCTATGAATCTGGGAGCAGGGACGATTCTGAGCTTCCTGAGATGTTTGTATCACCTGTGTGAGCAGACTGAGCCTTTCACGATGGAGGGAGGGGTCACCGGGTAGGGAGATAAACACTAATGCTATGCAGTATTGTACTCCCTACTGCTTATAAATTGCAGTCACCTGCTGTCTCACTAAAGATGTTTAAATGCTGAGTTCAAATTACTTCTATCATAACCTCTTTAGGCTCATATTCTGTGGGGGACTTCTTCAAGTATTGTGGTGCTCTGAGTAGGGGCAGGAAAATCGAGGTATCTTACAGACTCTCATCACATACAGGTCAAGGACAGTCAGCTGATGGTCACCTCCGTCCTGTTGGCATGCTTGTGGTTCAGAATGTGAGGTGTGTTAAGTGGGCGTTATTGGTGAGCCGGCTCTAGAAGCCCACACAGATACTGTGTGATGACCGTTCCTCAGCGATGCACCCTCCTTCTTTCCCCTCCTGGCTGGAAACAAACCAACCAACCTAGGCAAGGGCTGCGGGCAGCTGACGGTTGAAGCCATGCCTGTGTAGCAGAGGATTTAAATGACTTTTGCTCATTTCTAGGAAGATGCAATCTGTGACCTACGTACTATCCAATTTTTCTAGGTTTCTAATAATAAATGAAATAATTCAGACCTAAATCGTGAAGTGATTGGGAAAGTACTTTAGCCTTGGGTAAAAGCATTTTCCACTGAGAAAATATGTGTAATGCCTAGCAGGCCCTCTGAAGACAGGTACGTATCTGCTCCCTATTTTTTTTTAGTTTTTTGTAGTTCTCTCTGAAAAGTAGCCTCATGGAATAATTAAAGCTGTGAAATAAGTTTATATTTTAAGGTCTGAAAACAATTAAAGCAAGCTGAGTTATTTTCCAGAATGCAGCACTTTTGTGGGGGTGTGGTGTTAGGTTCTGTAGTGAACCAAGATGGAGGTGAAAATAATGACATATCTATGGTATTCTTGGTGCAAGCCTGGTGTGACCCACAGGGGTTCACAGGATTCACACAGGGTGCAGAGGGGGATAGTCTTCAGTGGTGCCAGGAACAGGAGCCGTGAGCCACAGGTGACAGCATTCCATGTCCAGCCTGGTCAGTGATCCCCTGGTTTAGGGCAGGATGGGGGCATCCTCAGTATCCCTAAAGGAGGCTGGAAAACATGCATCCTTGAGGGCTGTGCTGGACTTGCCACTCAAGAAGGTTCTCACTCGATTCTACTTCACAAGTAACATACTTTCGTGCACACACCACATCAGCATAAATGAAATGTTGATTTAAAAACACATCTATGCAACAGAAACACAAAACACAACATAAGCCACAGCTTCTACAAAGTGCATCTCTCCTGTAGATGGTGTACCCAGCCCTCCTGCTCCATGAGTGAGTGCTGGGACTGATGCCTCCCTCCTTTTTCCAGTCCTACAGAGGTAGGGATGGGGAGGTGGCAAAGCTCTACATTCCACCCTCATAGCTTCTCTGCAGACCAGAATGATGAAGGGAGTGAACATAGCAAAGCCTTCACCTTGGAGGCCTGTTCAGATCCAGTGCTCTCCAAAAAAGCTCTGCTGCTTCTGTCACCAGTGAGGTGGGGACATCAGGTCAGCCTCTGCAGGGACAACCTAGACAGAGTGGTGCTGGTTCCACCAGGCTCCTTCCCAGGGCTCTGCTGCAGACCCCTGTGAAATGGGACTGAAGTGTAGACCTGGATGACTGCCTTCTGCATGGGCTCTCTGCTTTCACATATCAGGGGCAGGGAAGGAGAAAGCAGCCAACACCTCCTTCATGACCAGAGGTGAAAGGACAGCTCTTTGGATGATTTTGGGTAGGAACAGACCTCTAACCTGAATGAATCTGTGCCAACCCAATCGTGTGGCTATCAAGACACTGGGACATCCTGATGCATCCAGTTCCTCAGAGGGGCTCTGAAGTTACCTGACAGGATCCCACACCGGCATCCTTCTTCCCATAGTAATAAGAACACCTGTACTGGGAGTCTGACCACATTCCTGGCTTCAGGGCTAGAATCACTCCCTATAACTCTACACCATCATATGGACTGACCAGGACCCCAGGAGCAACCCAGGCTCTGACATGGTGATGTGAGTTGACTTCATTCATTTGGTTTTACTTGGGAGTGAAGGAGAGAGCAGGCGGCAAGTTCGGCACAGGGAGACTCTGAGGATCACTGTAGGACCCTCTTTGGGGCCAAGAAGGAAACACAGAGACAGTGAAGGCCAGTTCTGCCTTTGAGTTGGACTTGTGGTCACTTCTGGTGCCTGTGAGCGGGGCCATGTCCAATGCCTGGGAGCCTGAGAGGGCGCCAGGCAGGACAGCGGGGGCTGGCGTCCAGGTGCTGCTGATTGCTACAACCTTGTGGATGTGAGTCTTTTCATGCCTCTGCGCTGGGCCAGGCTGGATGACAGCACAGGCTCCAGCCGTGGGGCCTGTGGTGTCCTGTTTAAAGCAAAGTAGGTGGCTGCCATTGCACCCTAAAAGAGAGAGGGAAGGCAAAGGTGAGCATGGTGCCCTACCGCTCCTGAGTGGGGTGCTGGAGCCGCAGAACTCCACAGAGCCTTAGCTCTCCCAGAATTACTGCGGACCTGAGTGTAGTGAGTCTGCTGCAGTGTCAGGTACCCAGCGGGCCCATAAATTTTACTGTCACTACATCCAGCCACCATCCTCCACCATCCTCCAAAGGTGCTTGCTCCACAGGAGTAAGTATTGTAGACCTGCATGGAGGCTTAGGATGAGGCCATGTGGCCTTGCTTGCTGCTGACAGGGAGACCAGGTCTGTTTGGTGGCCTGCTGGGCCCCCAAGAACACTTTCATGGCCAATTCCATGGACCATCAACTTCAGTTTTTGCCACTGTGGAGTAGTCTAGACTAACACGGTGACCAGGCTTATCCTGGAGTAGCTCCAAATCCTCAGGATGGATCCAGAATAGACCACATCTAACTGGATGATGCCGTATCATGTAGGATGTCAGAAGTGGGGTCCTGCCCAGAGTACAGCTGCCTGAGAGATGAATGTTGCTCTCGATGTCTATCACTAGCGCAACAGGAATGTCTGCAGACCCCTGGACTAGAACTGAGGGCCCTGAAACATGAGGCCATATGGCTGCCACACTTGCCACTCTCCCCTGAACAGAAGTTGTCACTCAAATACGAATGCTGGGTGTGGCTGCACATGTGTGATGAAGTGGCTAGTTGGTACCTAAGGGACACCCACAGTTTCCGTGCCCCCATCTGTCCCACAGCCACATGGTACCTTCACTAGGTGAACATCTTGTCTGCTCAGCTGGCTCTGGGACAGGAACTCTCTGTTGACAATCCATGGGTGCTTCAGCACTTGAATGGCCGTGAGGCGCTGCTGTGGGTCCACGTGGAGCATCTTGGACACAACATCCTGCAGAGGGTCACAGGCAGAGGGGACAGAGTGTTGGGCTGCTCGGTGATGCCTAGCAGAAGGCCTTAATGCCTTTATGCCTTCAAAACCTAACAGCTGTTTTGAGGGTGGCTCTTTGTGTTGGGGTCAAATGATTACTTTTAGGCGTAAGGGAATATTGTTCGCTGTTCTTTATTTATTCTTCTTTGTATATCATTCTTTCATTCCCTGCTGTCGGCTCAGTAGGTGACCAGGCATCCCCCAGTGACTGGCCAGGCTATCAACCTGCCAATTGGTTGGGCTATCAACCCCACAATATTACATCCAAATGGAAATATGTGAAATGTTAAAGGATATAGGTAAGGTGCTGCAATACTCTTTTAGTAAAAATGATAGCCTTCCAAAGGGGAAGCTGAAATGATGAATATCCCACAGATAGAAACTATTTCATAACGATGTATGTAGCTGCACTTTTATCAAGACTGTCTACAAATTTACACATAATCACAGAATCCATATACAAACTATCATATATGTCATTGTGCACGCCAGTGGCTCATATCCAATCAGAGTGATCCTTATTATAACACAATAAAATTACTAAAATTGGTTTAAGGATAGAGCTCTGCTTCATACCATATATACACACTGACAATCCATGCGTGTGCTAACGCAACGCCATGCGTGCTCAATCGCAAGCATGTTGCATCTGTACTGTATTTTGTGAAATGACTTGGTGTGCTTCACACACTGCACTACGGCTAGTCCTCCTACAGGCTTGGAGTGAACAGAGCAAATATCGCTTCCTCTATTCTACAGAGAAAGCTACTGAAGTGCACAGGGATGTCAAGGATGACCCAAGACAAGAGCCACATTCTTCCACTAGGCTGCCCTTCCTCTTCATTATTCCTCCCATATTTAAATATGAACTAAAATAAATTAGCTATGCACACATAGTGTAAATCTGAATCCCTTACTAGAATTTCTCATCATAAACCACAACAAAGAATTACTATGTACTGGAATAATACCCTTGCTATGGTTTATTTCTAAAATGCCCATGTACTCATCATTGGTGGTGCTTTCGGGAGGTGACTGGATCATGGGTGTGTGATACTTAGCCGTGTATTAATCTGCTGATGAGTTTACAGCCGAATGTGATTTTGGGAAAAGGTGGGGCACTGGGGGTGTGGCCTGGAAGGGTGTACATCCCTCCCTCAACCCTGGATCTCTCTCTGCTTCTTGCCTGCCATAGCAGGAATTGATTCTCTTCTGCCATGTCACCTTGCCTTGGAACCAGTCGGCTGTGGAAACTTCTACAGACTGTGAGCCAAAGTAAACCTTCCCTCTATTAAGTTGTGGGTGGCTTGTATTGTGTCTCAGCAAGGAGAAAGTAACTAAGACACTGTTCTTCTGAAGAGATATCCAATGCCCTTTATTATTTGAGAAAATCAACCTTAGTACCTCCTTGAAGAAATGTTTCCTGGAGGTGGGACTGTCCCCATTTCCAGATGTGAAAATAGAAGCAAAGAGAACATTACTGTCTTTCTCAAGATGACACAGCAGGAAGCGGTCCATTTTCATTTGGTACCTCTGGGACATGGACAAAGACATACTAAGAGGAAGTGAGTGTGGCTAAGTGGTAGAGCATTTGCCTAGCATGTCAAGGCTCTGAATTGGATCCCCAGTAACCCTCCTTCCCCTCAAGACATGCCGTCCACAGCTTCACCTGAATGTGGAGGACTGGAGGTTGTGTTATGCAGTGAGTGAGGGAAGGGAAGGCACAGGGGGAAGGAGGAAGGGAAGATATTGCAGCTTCAGGCACTGGTGGTGAAGGCAGGAAGAGCTGGTGAGGTCCTAGGAGGTGGCAAAGCTCCCTGTCTGCCCCTAGTACTTTATTTTATTCCTGACACCTTCTCCCTGTTGCCGTCAACCTCTAGATAACCTCCAGAGCAAGCCACCAGCACACACATCCTGGTCTGAGGTTCAATTTTGGGAACCAGAACTAAGACAATACCTACACTCATTCTGGCAGAATGGGTGCACGGAAAGGAGCACTTGCAGTGTCAAGATCCCAACCACAGGAAGTGCTTACTAAATGCCAGCTACCTTCTTCACCATTACCTGCACCGTTACTTTCACTATGACCTTCAATAGCATCACCTCTACTCCATTCTGCACCATCACCTCCACCATGATCTCACCAGCATCTTCTCCATCACCTTCTCCATCACCCTTACCCCGTCTACAACATCAATGTCGGCTAAAAAAGAGTGAGTCTAATAGTCAGGAGCAACGAGGTTGATCACAGTGTGGACTGCAGACAAGCCCTGATTCAAACTGTTTTGTTTTTGTTTTTTTGTACCAGGGATTGAACTCATGTCCTTGAGCTTTCAAAGCTGGCAGCTGAACCACTAAGCTAAATCCCCAGACCTAAACAGTTTTAAATAACACATCCACACCTCTATACCTGACGTGGCCACTCCAGGGCATTCGGGGCAGTTGTCTGATGACACCAAGAAAAGTATGTGTCAGCTTAGCTGGTTCATGATGCCAGTGTGTATGTTGCTGTGAATGTGTTTGTTAGACATGACTAGCATTACATCAATGGAGTCTGCAAGAAGCACTTATCCTCTCGTGGGGTGTGCCTCCTCTAATTGGTCAAAGGCCCTAAGGAAAAAAAAAGACTGAGCTCCCCAAGGAAGAGGGAATTTTGTCGGTGAAGAGCTTCTAAGTCAAACTGAAGCACTGACTCTCCCCTGGGTCTCCAGACCCCAGCCAGCCTGTAAATTCCAGACTTGCCAGCCAGTTCCTCAAAAATTATCCCTCTGCTCCTCCTTGTCTCTACATATTTGTGCCTGTGTCTTTCTGTGTCTACATCTATGTCTCCTACTAGCTCTGTTTCTCAGCAGAACCCTAAGATAACAGAAAATGTGATTTTTTGCAAATAATTTTTTAGCTGCAAGACTTAAAAACATCATGAGAGTAGAATATCTGTACTATTTATATGGGAGGTATCTTCTAGCTTCCTTACAAATAATATGGTTGTTGTGAGACCTCCACAATCGATCAAGAGTTAAGAACACTGGGAGGTGCACTCACTTTTGCTGCATCAGATATGGAGTCCCAATTTCCTCCAGAGAGGGCATACTTCCCACTGCCGATCCTCGCCAAGATCTCCTCAGGAGTATCATCAGGTCCATTGGCAAAAGGGGTAAATCTGTAGTGAGAGAATTGGTGGCAGTGAGCTTCCATTTTATAACCTAAAATAAACTTTACACTGCTCCCGAGAGGCTAGCCCCTTGCTGAGCACATGAACTACTGATTTATCATGAATTTCCTAAAATATGGGCCAGCCTCCTTCCTCCTGTGAGGGCCACAGAAAACAGGATGGATGGTCTAGGGTACACTGTAGTATTTAATAAATCCCTGGGGACCAGCGTATGTTGTGGGGCCTGGGGCCTTCCTGGTGAGAGGGAGCCCTGTCTTGTCTTCCCCAGACTTGGAGAAGGAAATGAGGCTGACGGGAGGAAAGGTTCAACCTGGCACTCAGAGCTGCACAAGCAGAGCTCAGTGGAAGCAGGCATCTAGACCTGGTCTCTTGCTCTACGCCATGTGACATCACCAGGGACTGGCTGGGCATGCCTGAGGCCAGTATGGACCTGAAGCCTGCCATCTTCAAGAGGCTCTTTGACCCAGAAGCTCCTGGATGCTTCCTGGTCAAGAGGATACCTCCAAGGCATGGATGTGGCCCATGCAGCCAGCAAAATGTAGACTAGAAGGCAGAGGCCTGGAAGTTTTGTTTCTGACCCTTGGTCTGTAGTTGTCCCAAGGGCATCGGGAAGGTGGAGGGTGTCTTATCCCAACTGAGGCTGTTACTTGTGGTGTTTGCCTGAGCTCATTTCCCAGGGAGAGACCAGCCCCCTGGCCCCTGCTGAAGAGTGTGTTCTTGCTCCTGACATCCTCTGGAGCCATCCATTACCCTGCCAGCATGGTGTACAACAGGATGCCCAAGCTCCAGACGTCACATGCTGCATCATAGCCTTGTCGCTTTAGGACCTATGAGAGAAAAGAGACCAGGGTGGTACTTCAGTAGGGGACTCGGCCTCAGGGCATGCTTCTCAGGGTACTGGGAGTGGCAGAGTGAGGAGCAGCAGCAAGCCCTTCACAGCCAGCTCAGTGCAGGGTGCTGCTAGGCCTGGTGGACAGACTTAGAAGGAGGCACCTCTATTTGAGGGCAGAAGGTTTTATAAATTTACCATTGTAACCCCACCCCACCCTTTTTTTTTTCACACACCGGGGATTGAACCCACAGCCTTCAAACTGAGCTACATCCCAGCCCTTTTTATTTCTTATGTTGAGGCAGAGTCTTGCTAAGTCACTGTTATGGTTTGGGTCTAGATGTCCCTCAAAGCCTTGTGTGGTCATAGGTTTAATCTAGAGTGTGTGAAGCTGGAATCGATTTATGATGCAATGCTAGGCTCAAGGGCACTAGGATTAAGTAGTCTGAATAAGATAAAAGGGGAGGGGAGACACTGTTAACTCTTGCTACCTTTGCTGCCTTGTGTGTCCCATGTTGTTTCTGCTCCACCGTGCCTGTTTGTCACACCTGCCTTGGAGTCAGATGATTATGGGCTGAAACCTCTATGAACTGAAAGTCAAATAAACATCTTCCCCTTTAACTTTGGGTGTCTGGTATTTTGCCTCAGCAAAGAGAGAAAAGTAACTGACACAGTCACTAAGTTGCCCAGATTGGGCCTGAACTTGCAATCCTTCTGCCTCAGACTCCCAGGCGGTTGGGATTACATGTACGCAGATGGGATATCACACCCAGCAACTTTAACAACTTTAAAGTGTGCAGTTCAGTGGCATTAAGCACTTTCAGTGTTGTGAGACTTTACCTCTGTCCAACAGCAGCACTTTCTCATCTTCCCAAATTAAAACTGTCCCTGTTAAATTCCACCTCTCCACTGCCCTTCCCCACCCTTGACACCCACCACTCTATTTTCTATGAATCTGACCACTCTGGGACCTCATATAAATGGAATCCTCCCATAGGCATCCTCTGGTTACTGGCTCTTTTCACTTAGTGTAATGCTCTCAAAGTTCATCCATGGTGTGGCATGTATTTCCTTCATTTTAAAGGCTAAATAATATTCCATAGTGAGTGTGTGTGTGTGTGTGTGTGTGTGTGTGTGTATAATTTAAAAATGTATCCATTGATGGGCTTGAGTAGCTTTGGCTTTTGTGAATAATGCTTCTATGAATAGTGTTGGACACATAGTTTTAATTCTTTTGTGAATATAGCCAGAAGTGGAATTGTTGGATCATACGATAATTCTATGTTTAACTTTTTAAAGAATCACTGAGGCAGAAGAATTTTAATGCATCCTAGGGTTACATATTTCTATCGAGGGCAACCCTCTTGATATATTTATTGTTGAGTTAATAATGAAGAAGGCAGTATAAATGCTCAGGGCTTACTGTAGGTTATTGTATCAGTGTTGAACATGAGGTTAGGAGAGTTGCTTTCAATTCCTTCGTTCAGTTTCCTTTTGCACACTAAATTGATTGGATGCTCACTGTCTAAGATCTAGCTTTATAATCCATTGGCTGAGTGCTTTGTAAAGCCACATAAACATATCAAGTTTGTGTTTTCTGAATCTATGAAAGATTTTGTACCCTGTCCTTATGGTATATGAGAGAGAAGTAAAAAACATCAAAAGTTCTTTGCTAATGGTAAAGTTATATAACAATACAGTGCACTTCAAAACTAATAAACTCAATACTGTGGGACACCAGATCACATTTCCCCAAACATGCCTCCTTCTTCATCTGAGGACTATTGATCTGTAATAAAGAAGCAGCAGCAGGGGCAGGAGAGCTCCTGCCCCTCTACTGCCAGGACACAGGGTCACAGGGACAAAAGGCACTTGCCCCTACCCAAGCACAAAGTTTATCACTCAAGCTGGACTCACACCCTTCTGCCTGGATAAACTCCAGAGGATCTGCACTGACTGGCTCTACCAGCAGCCATTATCTGCCCGCTCATGAGTCACTGCTTCTAGTGCCTCAAAGTCCTTCTTCTTGTCCTGCCTTGTCTTGAAGAATCCACTGATCTGTGTTGAAGATGCCTAAGAAGCCACCTCTTTGAGAATCACCCCTTCCCTGAGTGTCTCCCATGTACCTGTGAAATAACCATACTCATAATCTCATGTTTCTCTCTCTGGTCTGAGATTTTGGACTGAGACCCTATAAGGACTGAGGAAAAATTAATTTCCTTCCTAGCAATACTCTCTATATTAACACTGATCAACTAGGGAATCCATGGAAGTTGTTTTAGCGGGGCATAGGTTTTTCAAGCGTCTGGATGACCCCTAATAATGGCCTCTCAACCCACTCTCCAGCTGCATGTCCCAGGACACAGGAGCATTGTTGTTGTGGACCAGTGGCTGTAGGTTCCTTTTAGCCCCTGAGCTCCCAGGATGCCTTTTTTCTCAGACTTGTCACTTGGCCACACTCAGGCTGGAGTATCTGGAATAATTTCAATCAGAAGGACCTCCAGAGTCCAGTTTGCTTCATTCCCCACACCCCACTCAGTCCAGCAGCAACACCAGACGTCCCACCCTGCTCCTCCATTTACTATTAGCTCACACAAAGAAAAGTGGGTTTATTTTCATACCCACAGTATTGCTAGTAGAAACTGCCCCAGAGAACTTGAAAAGGAGGCTTCACAAAATGCCCAGGGGGAGGTTCTCTGAGATGGGGCCAGGAGCAGACAGGGTCCTAAGTACATTTGTGAGCTTTTAGTTTCAAGTTGCCATGGAGCTTGGTATTCTTAAATTCAATGGCTGTTAACTTAGTTCTGTCAGAGAAGGCAATAGGAACTATGGTGGGGAGAAAGTTCATAACTTCAGTCTCTCCTGGGACAGATGGGTCTGATCACAGACAACACATCAGCTCCATGTCCCTGTGTATTATTACCTCACTTTCACTTATAACAGATATGCAGATTTGATACAAGCTGTTGACAGCAGGATAACAATTTTAAACGAAAATGTCACTGCTTAAAAGTTTTTCAGACAGGAAAATAAAATGATAAAATTAACAACTGGAGCAAGCCTGGCTGATTTCCAAGACAGCCGGCTCTTCTTTCTGCCTCTACAGGAGGTCTTCACATCTTTCCTAACATACTGCTGGAGTTTACCATGCTACCACTGCCACCCTAACCCTCTGGTCACAGAAGCACAGGGAGCTCTTTTGGGGCCAGCTGGGCCTATCTTCCCAAGGGATGGCTCAAGGGACTGCACCTCAGGGGCCACGAAGTTCGCAGTATAGCATGGGGTCATCAGCAGCCCATTCTCGGCACGCAGCTGCTTGGCGAAGCCAAAGTCACAGATTCGGATGGATTCGGGGTTTCCAGATTCATCCATGTACAGAATGTTACTGGGCTTCAGGTCCCGGTGCACAACCTGGAGGGCAGGAAATATCATGCAGTGACAGTAGGAGAGAGGAGAAGTGTGTTTTGGAGGGACTGTTTGCTCAGGGGCAAGTTCTACAAAGAGGTAGGGCTATCTCATCTTTCACACTGGCCACTAAGCCCCCCCACATACACATCCCCATCCCCATTGCAGAGAGTGGCTGTGAATAAGTAAACAAGTGCCTGTCTTCGGGAGGGCACTGCCTGGTGGAGCTGGTCCACAAAAGGACTTGGGTGGTGAGTGCAAGAATGAAAAGGTTTCCAAAGGCTGTTCTCATTCCCTAAGTATTTATCATGTGCCTCCCAAGTGTTAAGCACCGTCAGGTGCTGGACAGCACCAGCATGTGGCCTGCTGTTAAGGGCATGCCAACTTGTGGTGGTGATGAGCAGAACAGGCCTGCACAGACACAGCAATTGCATCGGTGCCCCACTTAGCACCAGCACTCTCAGCATACCCCACAGGGACCATGACAGCTGCCACCTATCAGGGCCAGTGACACCTCAAAGCAAAGTGACTATTTAGGGCACAAAGGGAAGTCTCCTGAGGGGACAGAGGGCCACTGTGTGTGCCTTTAAAAGGCTTGGACCAGAGCATCTCAATTGTCCTGTTACAGCCCAGTGAGAGCATCTACATGGGAAATTAAAGGGACATGCTCAGGCAATGAGCCTTGTGGACAAGGAAATGAAAGGCCCTGACTCAGTTCTCTCATCTCCCTCCTTAAACAGAAGGACTTTGCAAGAGCCTCCATTAGAGGGGCTCCCTCTTATGCTTGTCTACTGGGGGAAACTGTGCGCAATACTCCTGGACCACTGGGTGTCTACACAAAGGAACCTTGTGTGGCCCTGAAAGAATATTCTAACCAGAGATGAGTTCATTTGAAAGGTTTACAACCTTACATCCATAGCTGCCACGGCAGTATTGCCTGCTTCATGAAAATCACAAAGCAGGATGGAGATGAAGGATGGAGAACAAAGGTTATTTAGTGTTGGAGGCTGGGTGTGGCCTAGAGCTACAGTGTAACGTTGGGTGGATCCTCAACCTTCTCAAGCTCTGGTCCCCTCACCTCACCTGTGAGGCCTGTGCTTGGGACTCAGTTATGAAAAGCTCAGCACAGCGGGAGCACCTGAAAGTTTTCTGAACCTCAGCTGTCATTGTCATTTCTGTTGAGTGTCCCTTTGCATTGGTTAATGACTTTGGCTTTATATCCTGCAAATAATGAAAATTCTAAATGTCCTTTATCAAGGCCAGATTTTACCCCCCGCCCAATCGGTGCAGGTAAATTTAATTTATTAATGTAGCTCCTGGTTATACTCTATATACAAATTATTTTAGACCCGTGAAAGGTAGCAGAATACGTCACCCCATAATACACTGCTCTGGCATATTGACTATTTTGAGCTTCAGGAATTGAAGGAAGTAGATGGAAGTGGCTTCTGCCTCTTGACTTAAAAACAGTACATACATTGATAAAAGCGTCTGCCTCCCCTTTCTACTAGGAAAGACATAAGTCAAGAACCACCAAACAATCTAGACCCTTGCTGGCCTGAGATGGAACAAACCTTACTTGCCAGCCTCTGCTGGTTCCTGTGTGTTTACCTGCTCAGTTAGCTGTCTAGAACAATGATCTGTTTGTGTTTTGGCTGCTCATCTGCCCTTTGTCACTCTAACTTACAGAGCCTCGGCAAAGAACACTCTTCCTCTCTCTGCCCTCAGGGAGGCAAACAGAAAAAGAGACAGACAGCGGTCTGGAGGGACTCCGCACAGTCGGAGGTCCTGGCTGAAATCTACATCTCCTGCATAGCTTCAGTGCTCCTGTGGCCGTGGACTTACCCCCTGGGAATGCAGGTAGTCCATGGTCTTGGTGATGGTACACAGCACATCGCTTGCCTCACGCTCTGAGAAGCACCGCTGCCGGAGGATGCGGTCCAGGAGCTCCCCACCACGCATCAGCTCCATCACCAGGTACACGTATTTGCCGTCGTCATACACCTAGGAGCCAAAACGGGTACACGGAGGCCTCAGTGGGCTGCTCCCCAGCTGCCAGCTATTGTGAAGATGGGGCAGAGGACGGAAGCTGCAACGCATGTTCCCTGGAGTAAGATGGTGATGGACCTCAGGCCAGAGTAGCCCTTCTGGGAGAAGAGACCAGCTGTGACACTTTCCTGCTAGGAGAGGAACAAGCGAGTGGGTTCACCATGGGAGATTCACAGAAATGCCGGTGATGCTGCAACCTCTGGAAGGCAGAGACATACAGCATGGACATGAATGCAACACAGCACTGCCCAAGCTGTCCCCTAGGTCCTGTACATGGGCCTGGGGATTCTGTCAGAATGCATGTTCCAGCTGCACACACCTTGGGGAGGGGGCACCCTGCATCTCTTAGCAGCCCCGGGGGCATCTGCTGCTCCCTTACTTCAATCACTTCTGTGGTCAGTGTCAGGAGCTGAGGCAGTGCTATCTGGAGCTAAAGCACACTATTGAAGCCACTTTCTTGCAGAGAGGGGACAGAAAGAGATAGCTGTTGTCCACACTGGCTTCTATCTCTTGACTCAACATTAAAAAACAACCACAGCAAAAACTCTGGCTATTTTTGTGCCCAGACCCCATGCACAGGGGAGCCCACTGGCATTGAGCACCAAGCACTTTATGCAAAATACAGCCAGGGGCTGAAAGAGGCTTGTTTTTAGCTCATTGACCATCATTTAATCAATGCACTTTCAGAACAAATTAGTAATTTGCCTGACTTGGAACTTAGAAAAAGGCATAAAGTTAAATTTGGAGTGTGTATTCTTGAGTTTATGAACTCCAATGGTCTGCTTTTGAAAACTGAAAGATGATGCCATCACTGAAATCACTCATCTGCAAAGTAATAAAAATGAGTTGAGGAGCTTAGGAAATTCTCAGATGAGTTGATTTCTGACTGTCAGTCTTATATTGAAAACAGCACTGAATGTGTGCAAAGGGGAGGTGATTGTAAACCTTGGGGACAGCAAGGGCTTTACATAAGCTTTCTGGACATAAGGCACTTGTTTACTTTGTTCCTCAGTAGTAAACTGTACCCTGAAGGCCTCTTACTCCAGGATTACCAGCCAGAAGAGACACTGAGGTGGCCCTGGCATCCAAAGGCTTTGGGCTCACGAAGAGGATGAAAACTATCTTCTCTCCTCAGCCCTAAATCCTGCACTCCATTGGCCTTTACAGGATGCTGTACACTTCCCGACTAGCTTTCCATTATCTCTCACCAGAGATAAAGACCAGCAAGCATCCCACAGAGACAGCTAGAGAATCTCGGAAAAAAAGCTTCATGAGCCAGCCTGGCCTGGTGCTGGGCCACCCCTCACCCCTAGAATCCTTGCCTCTTTGTGTTAGAGTTAGGATTAAAATGATCCATGACATGTCTGGGTTATGACTTACAAAAGGTGCCATCTCTTCTGTTATGCTGGTGTACCGTGTGCTTTGGGAGCAGTAGAGAGCATCCAAGAGACGTGCACACAGGTCTCACAAACTGAGTGACTAGACCGAAGGGGTCAGAGGTACCCAGGGTAGGAACTGACTTTGGCAAGCAATCCTAGGCACAGGAAACACTCAGCATATGCAGGAAGCTTATGGAACATAAATGGTAGCTTTTCTGTCAGCTGAAGAAACAAAAAACAGAGGCACTGTGGCCACTGCACAGAGGCCACTCACGTCTTTGAGGGTGATGATGTTGGGGTGCTGGCCATACCGCAGGAGGATCTCGATCTCTTCTGAGGGATCTCTTTTACTCTTATCAATGATCTGGAGCAAATACAGAATATGACAAGGACAGGCTTGCTGCGGGTGGATCTTTCGAAAAAGAACAACAGACCCAAGTGGCCTCACCACACCCTCCCTGAACTTTCAGCCTCACCCTCGACAAGGCCACTTAAATCTCCTGGGAATTCAGAGCCAGGCCTCTCTGTGTCCTCTAGCATAAGAATCACATTTGTAGGAGGTGGAATAGGGTAAATTTTTAAACAACAACAAAAAAATTTCCTATAGTAAAACACATGGCCATCTTTTTATTTTTATTTTTTTTTCATTTAAAATGTCACCCTCAGGCCAGGGATTTGACTCAGTGGTTCCGGTGCCTGCCTCACAAGCACAAGGAGCTCAGTTTGATCCCCAATACCAAAAAAAAAAAAAAAGTCACCCTATCCCGCCTCATATAAATGTGACTCTTGTGCTAGAGGAAGGGCTCCCTCATAATACCCCTGTCTTTTCAGCCACACTTATCCCACCATTCTTGGCACTTTCTGAAGCAGTTCTGGAAATCCTTTCATGATTGTTTTTATTAGGTGTGATCAGAAATACGATAAATGCTGCCACTGAGTGCCATCTGATGAAGAGGCAGACTTGTAAAAACATATATGGTGCGTTCTCATCCACCTTATCCCCTGGACCTGCACCACGTGGCTTCTGGCCCTTTCCTAAAGTCAAAACGACCATGAAAGGTAAATGTTTCAGATTGATTTAGGACACTGAGGCAGCCATGACAGTGCAACTACAGACACCGAGGAGATCTTCCAGATCTACTTCAGAAAGTGGCAAGAACGATGGGGTGAAAGTGTTCCAAGTGAGGGGACGTATTTTAAAGGAGAATAACGGCAACATGTCTTTTACTGTAATAGTATTGTGTGTGTGTGTGGTTTTTTGAGAGAGGGTCTCACTATGTAGTTGAGACTGACCTGGAACTCACTTATGTAGCTCAGGCTGGTCTTGAACTCACAGCGATCCTCATGCCTCAGCCTCCCGTGTGCTGGGATTACAGGTGTGCGCCACCACACCCGGCTACTGTAATAGTTTAAACATTTTAAACATTTACTGTACTTTTCAATTAAATCTCATGCATGTAAATCTTCAAACTCTAGCACTAAGATATTATAAGGTTAGGTGGAGAAAGGTGGGCATGGGCAGCTGTAGCAGGCATCGGCAAAGAACATAACCTGTGTTTCCACTTCCTGGCAGGCTCTCAGCCAGGCGCTGAGCTTCTCAGGTGAACCTCCCACCACTGTGCACCTTGGGCATGTTCTGCAAGCTTCACACCGGCAACTTCATGAGATAAAGTTCATGGTTCTCAACAAGAAACACTGCGGATGGAGAGTGGGCTGGATTTTTCTCAGGGGTGAGGTACAGGGAAGTCCTTTCTCATTTCATACTCCTCCATATCCAGCACTCATACCCGATGTCTTAGGATAGGACATACAATTGTTTTACCCCATGACAATAGTTGGCTTCCTACAACAGAATGTTACAAACCAAGCCTGTCTTGAGACGGGAAGTCCCCTTCGGAGGTTTCCTACTTAGGCCCTGCCCCCACCTTCGTGGGAAGGGAGACGGTGAGGCAAGGGAATCACTCATGTGACACTGATGGCACATATAGTGCAAACAACACCCAGGACAGAAGACATCAGAAATGTCTAACAGCAATGTGAACTCTTCTTGTGTTTTAGTTCCCCCTAAGTTTAAAACTTATGAAAGTGTGGGGATGATTTGCCCCTGGTTTCTGTAACATAAAGTCAGTGGAGCTTTGCATAAAAGTCAGTTCCTTTTCTTTAGATGAACTCGAGGCTGTGGTAGGCTTTGACACACTGCTGTTACTTGATGCCCTCCTCCTCACTGCCCACACTCCATTGTTAGAAAAAGCCCTGAAGTAGCAAATCCTCCAGCCCTCCAGTCTGTTGTAAAGGGCAGTCTGTTCAAGCCAGTCATATCCATGCTATGCTGTGAGAGGCCTATGAGTGGCCTTTGACAACAAACAGGCAGGCCAGTAAGACACCCTTTCCAACACAGGCTCTCTCTCCTTTGGCTACTTTCAATTCCATGTAAGGGGACTCCTATTTCTGGGTAAACTGGTACACAATGCAGTGTTCTAAAAAATAGGCACCTAGAAAGGTCCTGTGAAGCCAGGCGCAGCAGCCCACACCTGTAATCCGACCACACTGGGAGGCTGAAGCAGGAGGATCACAGGTTTGAAGCTAGCCCGGGCAACTTAATGACTTAGGAAGATCCTGTGTCAAAACAAAAATATCAAAATATACTTTACACATTGATCCACTCCCCACTGTGAAACTCAGGGGCCAAAAAAGTCATGGGGGGAATGGTTAAAGTATGTTATGCGCATGTACAAATCTGTCAAGATGAAATCCATTAATCTGTATAGCCAATCTGCATTAAGAAAAAAAGTAGGAAAAAAGAAAAAATAAATTTAAAAAGTGATAGGGATATATCTCAGCGTGAAAGCTTTGAGTTCAATCTACAGTTCTGCCCGCCCCAGAAAAGAAAAAGAAGGGTCTATTAACAGGGGTGGGCTCTTTAAAGTGCCAATGCCTGCTGGTGTTATGAGCCTGTCTTTTGCAGTCTTTGGAGGGGACTCAGCTGAGAGGGCTCCAAACTGTATACCCGGGCTGGGGTCTGTCTTTACAATTTGATAATGTTAAAATACATGCATGAACTTAACAAAAAATCAGTAGCAGATCTTTTCTTTTTTTTTTTTTTTTTTTTTTTTTTTTTATGGTGTTTAGAAGTGAGGCATATAGGAGATTTTTTTTTTTTTTTTTTTTTTTTTTTTTTGCAAAGACCATTTCATGATAAAGAGATATATTTTTAGCAAAAATATGCTTTGTTCCCTCCCAAAGGAGCAGGATGCAGAATAAACAAGAAAGAGGAAACCTTTTCTGTCCTGCCAGGGACACTTGTCAAGAAAGACACAGCGCAGATGCATCCTATAGTGTCACTTGATTTAAACCTGGGGGAGGAATGTAAGTAGGCACCTCTACTTCCATATACATGCATAAATAACTATGAAAGGAAATATTAATAACGTTCCCTTTCTGCTTCTAATTAGAACAGGCCCTGGCAGATCAAGTTCTTTATCCTGAGAATAATATTATTTGTAATCTTTATAATGGAATTAAACCTAGACAGGGATTACCAGTGTGTGTGATTGGGAACCAGCCTTTGGTCTCCAAGGGCATGCTCCATAATACCCATGACCAGGAGGAAGGGCCAGGGAGGGAAGAGATCATCCTCTCCTCATTCCCACCTGGCAGCAGCTGTGCAGGAAGGCCACCTGTAGGAAAGAATACCACCCAGTGGGGCAGCACCTGCTGTGTAACACGCTGTGTGTGTCCTCTGTCCTCAGGGATGCTAAGTCAATGTCTGCACCTCCAGGAAGCAACTCTAGCTTCAACAATCAATGGCACAGGATGGTGGCTTTTCAAAGTGGGTGAGCACACAGACCCAGATCAAATACAGGGTTATCCCTGGCGGCCAGGGATGGAACATACAAGGCTTTGCTATCACTGATGCCTTTTTTGGTGCAGGGATCTCTCTTTGTCTTTCTCTTCTCTCTGCTCCACTGGAAATATTCCTGGACATTGACCGGGGCCGTGGAATGAGTTCAGGAGCTTGCAGGACACTTGCGTCCCCTGATTTGTCAAAGGATCAGTATTATGCTTGAAGAGTAGGAGAGCATGTAATTACTTGAGAACTCTAACAGATACCTTACCCTGTAAAATCAGTTTAAACAAATCACACAGAGAAAGAGCTCCCATGTTTCTCTCACAGAAAAAAATTAAAAATTTCCGTGTCAATCAGTCCTTCTAAAAATAAGCTGTACTCAGGCCAAGCATCTGCTTTAATTACATTTCTTTTTTGGTAGACAAATTACACACACAGTATGAAAATGAGCCTGGACATGGGAACACTGTGGATTCATAGAGCCTAGTGTGGATTCAAATAGCCACCCCTCCTAGAGGAGCAAGCCCTGGCCCCATGCATGTGAGCGGTAGCCATCCCTGTCACTGTAATTAAGAACTGGCTGACACGTGCTCTGGTATATTTTTAAGAGTCTCTCCCTATTTTCATCCAATGCTACTGCCCATGCAAACTAAGGTATTTTAACCATGTAACAACAATATGTGAGCCTCCTCTTGAAGCACGGGGCTCCCTCCAGGATAACTCAGCTACTGCTGACAATACAGGCCCATGTCATTACATAGGAGGGTCTGCATTCCTGTGTCTACGTGGGCATGTTTGAAGATAAAATGGACCAAGAGAAAAGTCTAAAACCACAGAAAACTTCATTTAATTTCAGAATCTCAGTTACATTCCAGTTTCTGCTGTAGCTTCCAGTTCTGTGAGCAATACAACTCCTAAAGGGCTGTACTGTGAGCTTCCTGAGGGCTGGGCTGTGATCACCAGGGGCCTAGCATGGTGTCTGCCTTCTGCCCAGTAAAACAATGTGCCTACAGCCCAAAGGAACCTGCTTCCTATATGCAGCAATCTAGGTAGAATCAATATGATCATCAGCCCAGAAGTGGTCTGAATAATTTTATTGTAACCTTGATTTGAAAAAATAATTGAAGTAAAGCTCCTAGTTACACTCATCCTTGGTACTACAGAGTGGTATAATGAATGATAAGAAGCTTCTTCATGTGTCTACTAAAGCTAGTTTGCTCCTATTGGTACACAGCTTTCTTGAGCTGTTGGACCTGTTGCAAAAGCCTCAGAGGCCCCTGATCCCTAGAGGTCACATCCGGGCAGACAGGCAGCACACAAAGCACCAGACAGGTTGAAGTGATGAGCACTACAAGGAAGACAATGCAGGTGCAGGAGAAATGAGTGACACAGACAGTCTGGAGACCTTTGGAGGAGACCCTAGCCTGTGCACAATTTTCAGGAGTGAGACCTGCTGTCTGCAAGAGTCTGGAAAAGATGTTCCAGGCACAGGGACAAGAGCAGCTTTGTGTGTTTTGGGTAGAGTGTAGAGCTCAGTCCAGCAAGAGGACTGGGTCAAGGAGATGGGTGGTAAGGCCAGGATTGCAGCAGCAAGCACTCTCGACTCCAGCCAGGTGAGACAGAACTACTGGAGGTGGGGTTTAGGTAGAGAAGAATGAGATCTTCCCTCTGTCAAACTGTCTGCACATAGAAAACAGACAGCAGCAGGCAAAGGTTGGGCTCTGGGGCCCTGTGGGGAGGATGAGCCCTGCACAGCTGTCCACTGGCATACAGTGCATGGCTGTGTATGGGGAGCTAGGATGTTTGCCACCTTCATGAGCCAGACTTGCACTTCTCATCCATTCTGAAGCATGACCCACTGCCAACATCATGTGACCAACAGCACGCCAGCTCACTGCCTTCCTTCCTGGGAGGCATAGTATGAAGGGGGTGTTAGGGCCCTTGAGTGGCAACAGGAGACAGAGCTGTGGACAGGCAGAGGGAGCACACTGGATGATGCCAGGAGGCTTCTGGTGCAGCACCAGAACATCCTTCCTGGACACACTGGGGTCAGTAATCCTGTAGCAGTGACTACGCTGTTGGGGATAATGACATGACTATGTAGAGAGAATAAGCAAATTAGCAATGCAAAGCTCTCGGAAAGGCCTTGGCATGAGCTTTGCACTGTATTCACTGTCACCATCCTTGTCAGGGCAGTTCCATTGTGGTCTCAGCACTGCCCCAGGACTGCTGCTCCTTCCCTTCTGAGTGCTGGCTGTTGGGCTGTTTGCTCCTGACGCACTTGTGTGGGGTTTGCAAAAGAAGCCAACATGGTGATGTTGGAGCCCTCGTAGTGTAGGTTAGTTCTGTGCCCACCAGCCATGCCCTGCAATAAACAGACACTGGACAAGAGTGCTCTCAGGTAAGCAGTAGTGAGCCCAGGAGAAGCCAAGACATTTGTGTGACACTGTCAGCTCTTCAGTAGATCAGTTCTGATGTGTTTGTTTGTACATTTATGTATTTCTACCTCCTGCTCCAGAACATGGCCAGGAAACCTCCCATTTATAGAAAGCAGCACTGACTAGAATGTGCGCCAGGTTATGCTGAGTTGTAGAGGTTTGAGAACAAAAGAAAAACAACTCTGTCTCAGTTCCTCTAATATGACTGCAGTACCTTGGGCGGCAAGCAAATATTTTTCTTTCAAATACACCTTCATCCTTCCTTTTAATCCTTCTCCATCACATGGCCTTCAACACTCCACAATCAATTCCATATAGCTCTGACTCTAAACGAAGGAAGGAAGGAAGGCGACCTGAAGCCCCGATGTGCACGCAGGTCTATGTCTGTCACTGCACAGCCCAGTAGTGTCATCTCCCCTGGGTGGGTCCTCAGGAAGCGGGGCTCAGCTGTCAACTACAATGTGTCTGACAAAAGAAAGAGGAGGTAGGAGGGGACATGACAGTTTTCACACTTGGCCATTCTAACACCGGCTGGTGCATGGGTGGGACATCTGGATGGAGTCAAACCTGAAGTGTGTGTGAGGAGGAAAAGAGGGTGGCTCTGCCGGAGGCTGTACTGTCCACGGAGGATGCTGGACATTTGGGGTTGTGTGCCAAAGTCCTGAGGGAGGGACCAAGCCTAGGAACGATATCCGTAACGATGTCCAATAACATGAGAGCTACTACACTCCTGTATATGGCCCATAATCGAAAGGTGACAAGCCGCTCACTTCCTCTCAGAGGGACCTGCAATCTGAGTCGCTGCTGTTATTGTGAGGTGCTGACTAAGCACTGAACTCATAGTCAGAGTATTACCACCCCATTGCCAAGAAAGAGCCTCTCAAAATTCGGTGAAGAAGGACCATGCCACCCTCATCTCCACAAGAGCCTCCTGGAGCTTAGCTATCTGAACTCCTGCCCCAGCAGAAGGCTGCCCTCAGCTGGGCTCTCAATCTGCCAACATCCATGTTATGGGCTGGATGATTGACAGGGGCAGGTAGGGGGTACTCAGGGTGAGAAGCAGCAGCCCTGGCCTCATACATCAATCATGGTGGGATCTCCTGCCCATGTTGTGAAAGCCGAAATGTCTCCCCACATTGCCAGGGTACCCAACTGACGATATCTGTCCAGGGTGGAAACCAGTTTCCTGGTCACTGTCCTCACTGGTTGTGATTGCGGCATTCTTAGTCCTGATCATTACTGAGCGGGGACAGTTCTGAGCCACCCATGTACTAGATGAAGAGGATGCCCTGTCTCCCCAATTGGACTGACCCTCAAAATGAGGCAGGTTCTGTTTTCATGTACAAAGTGTACAGGTGGCAGAGTTTATAAGCCATTCAAGTAGTGGCTCAGAGTGGCACAGCTGAATGTGAGTGGCAGGAGTACCTTTGCTAAGGTGAGATTCATGTCATACACCAAGCAATCCCCTGTTGTATTCCTAGCTGGGGGTCATAGTAGGAATTACACTGAAATGTGTCATTTCCTCATTCCTCTATTCAGGGATTGTCCTAATTATCAACAGTCAGCTGACACAGGAAAGCCAAAGTAGCTCAGTTACATCCTACCCAGCAAATGCTAAAGAGATAGAAAGTGGCCTAGAACTCAGCTAGAGCTGTTCTGATGATCACCCTGTAGAATGAGCACCTTGCCACAAAACTGGTGGCTCTCCCATCCTTGGAGAAAACCCAGATAGTGGTCTGGTTTTAGATAGATGATGGACTTTTTGTTGCCAGTCCAGGAGGTGGCTCAGATGAGCTTCTGAAATAGTTCTGGATTCATGGTGGCATGTGGGCCCTGAGCTACATCTCACAGAGAAGCTCGTGGTTTTTCCAAGGCCCTGCTCCTTCCTGTGGTGGTTTATTTAAGATCTTCCAGACAATAAATCATGACCTATTGTAGTCTCAGGAAAATGAGGGAAATCCCTTCATGCCTATCAGCTAAATTTGTCCAGGGAAGTTCAAGGCTTATAAAAAAGAAACAGGAAGTCAAGGCTTATAAAAAAGAAACAGGAAGGTCTGGCTCTCTTCTACCATCAGCCGGAGCGGCTACAGTGCCTGGCAGAGACAGAGAGAGGGAGGGAGGGAGAGAGAGAGAAAGAGAGAGAGATGACTTCAGATGGATCTTTGTGCTTTGAGTGAGGGTTGGATATGGGAACATTAGGGGAGGATAGGCCACTTCCCTTGTCAATGGGCTTACTTGCAGGGCATAGTAGTAGGATGTCTTTGGAAGGGCACTGGAACTGCCAAGAGGGCCACAGAGTGGGCTTATTTCTCTGTACTTGCTAGCAAGAGTGTTTGTTTCTAGGATGGCTGCTGATCACCTGATAACAATCTGAAGAATTTCTATGAGAAACAACTCACACAGAGAAGGTTCTAAGACACCTGTGTATACTTATGAAGCATATGGTAAACATGTTTCAGAGCATAAATAAAATTCTCTCATCTGAGGCCAAATAGAGTCTCCTATCCACCACTGCTCCATCTGGACATGGAGCCAACATCTGTCTAGTCTCTCTGTAAACACCTACAACAGTGAGGTGGAGAAGCAGGCGGTGTCTGTGCTGTGGAGAGAAGCAGCCCCCACCGATCCCAGCTTCTCCTGCTCTGGCCTCCACTGAGAGTCTGCCATGACAGCTACCCTCCCACAGCCTCAGCCAACATCCCTGGGAGTTGAACCATGATAAGTTTACTTCCTGCAACCTCTCCTGCATGTGTTCAGGGCACTGGGCAGGATAAATCTGGAGAATCCATCAGCTGGACCCACACATTACTTGTTCTTCCATGTTAAAATATTTCTTTTTGTTTGAGAAATTAAAAGATAATTTTGTCAAAAAGCTGTCAATTCTTAAGGTGTTTGGGCTGGTGTCTTTTTTGTCAGCACTGAGTATTTTCACAGTCCAAGAAACGCGGGGCAGATGTTCCCAGTGGACATGCAGGTGATCAACGGGTGGCTCTTGAAAGACCTTTGCATTCAGGGAATAGCAGTGGAGACAAGAGCAAGCTGGGAAGGGAGGGTTGACCATGTAGCCATTGACTTGGGCAGTGTCTTCAGAGCCAGGAAAATGACAAAGGGTGGCCATAACTACCAATACACTCCTTCTTGACAGAAGTTCCTCTTCTCCCCAGAAATTATTGGCAGAGCTGGGGCAGCACACCTGCTATAGATGCATTTGGGAATAAGAACCATCTAGTCATGAATACAGGCTTGGGCCATGTCCCTCAGGACCCCTGAGGGAGAGTGCTGGGCTTTATAGAGTCTCTCAAAGTCTAGTAGAGAGAATATACTATGTATACTTTTTATGTATGTTAGGTTCTCATTGTAGCATAGCTTTGGTGTTAATCCCTATTTTACCACCTAGAAAATTCTAGAAACTACCATTTTAAAGTTTTAGATAAAATGTTTAGCAATGAGGCTAAAGTTAATATGTAGAGATTCAAGAACAATATATACTGTTCTTGATGGCTGGGAGTAAAACCACTAGTTCTCTACTTAAATTTTTGCAAATAATATTAGTCTATACTTATTTCTTTGATTATTTTTTTGTTGGCCATAACTTCCTTCTAACTCTCCTTTCTCTTTTCCTCTCTCTCTATTTCCTCCCCTTGCCAAGTGTGATGCCTCAACGCTATTTTCTCCAAACGTTGTTATTGTTGGTGTGTGTTATACATAAGTTGCTAATGGTGGTAGTCCCTACATGATGCATATGAAAACATTAATGTTTTGCAAAAACAATTTTAAATGGATAGGCAACCTCATCTCAAATCTAACCCCATCATACCTCAGCTTAGAAGATGGCAAGCAGAGGGAATGTTCATGCATGCTCCTGTGTCCCCATTGATACTCCTGCACTGCTGAACAGCTGTGGCACATGACTGTGCTCACAAAATGAGCCTTCCCTACCTTCACGGCGTACTCGGCATCCGTTGCTTTATGCACACATCGCTTGCATACCGAGTAGGAGCCCACCCCGATGTCCTCCTTGATCTCATAGCCATCGGTAAAGTGGATATTGTTTCCATGTAGCTGCTGTAAGAGGTCATGACAGGAGAGGGCTGTTAGTGCTTTCTTGAAAAGGTACATGTGCCCATAGAACTGGGTCATGCACTGAGAAAAGTGAGGGAACGGAGGTCCAAGAGTTACAAGGTTCCTTTTCCCAAGGTCTAGAATTATTTAGTGATGGTTCTAGATCTAAAATTCAACTTGTCTGGTTCATTTTTTTTTTTTTTTTTTTTTTTGTACTGGGGATTGAACTGAGGACCT